CCCCTGATCAATCAATCTAGTGTTGGGATTCAGCATACTTTTTTTTCCCCTCTTTTTCATATACAATGCTACTAATTAAGCTCAAGATATGTTGCTTGTGAAAAAAAGGTGGCAGTTGTTCAGAATGGGACTACATAAAGCAATGCCCTGGCCTCTGTAATTTGCCCTCTAGTAAAGGCCAACAAAAGTTCCCACATATATTTAGCCAACAGAGCTCAGACTGGTTCCTTACTTGGCAATAAATAACCTGAAAGGTCGACAAACTCTATCTTGCCAGAATATATGTGGTCATAATTTGTTAGCCTTTATCAGAACACAGAGTACAAATTGTGTGTGTGTGTGTGTGTCTGTGTGTGAGTGAGTGAGTGAGTGAGTGAGTGAGTGAGTGAGTGAGAGTGAGTGAGTGAGTGAGTGAGTGAGTGAGTGAGTGAGTGAGTGAGTGAGTGAGTGAGTGAGTGAGTGAGTGAGTGAGTGAGTGAGTGAGTGAGTGAGTGAGTGAGAGAGTGAGTGAGTGAGTGAGTGAGTGAGTGAGTGAGTGAGTGAGTGAGTGAGTGAGTGAGTGAGCGTGTAAAATTTCAGCTAAAAGTCTCCACTAAAGAATATGAAACTGCTACACAAAATAAATTGAAAAACAATCATCAAAACCATCAGTGACATTTACTGCGCGAGTGACGAAAAAAGAAAAGAAACCGCCAAATAAAAATAACTAATCAATCAAATGGATAAACATATCAATAATCATCAATAAACATATCCATAACATAACAACAAGAATAACAACAATATTAAAAGTCGGACATCTCAAATAATTCTTCAGTGCACTGTCCAATGACTATGACCATCTAAGCATTGCATAGAGAGCATGCCAAGTACCAACTTGGACAGCAGGAATTCCAGTGGTGGACTGCTGCACTCTACCAAAATTCCTGGTGGGTGCAACTGTACTGAACTGGAATTACAGAAGAATGCAAACTAGTGGAGAGGTTAACTACTGACTGACTATTTACTCATCTATGCATCACCTGACCTCTGATTATGTCATTTCAGAATTAAGAAAAGGTAAACACATACATGAAGAGATTAACAAACAGGTCACTGTCCAAAATAGGATCACATAAAGCAACACAGCATATTTAGCATGACAAGGGTTTGGACTGGTTCCCTATTTGACGAAAAATTACAATTATTGACTTCACTAACCAGATTATACATGATGGAAATTTATTTGCCTCTCCCAGAAAACATAAGGCCCAAAATTAGTTAATGAACTTGTGCAAATATACACTACATCAGGTGAAACTAAAAAGCACTTGGACCTTACATACACTTTCAGTAGATATTTTTGAACCTTAGAGTTTTGTTTTACATGTTCTTTATGGCCTGACCTTTGCTCTTTCCTATTTTTGCAAGGTCCTATTCTGAAAATTTACTAACATAAATAATAAAGATCACAAATCAATGAAATACTACCCAAATAATGATGACAAAGTTCAAAATATTTGACACCAAAATAGAAGTTATAATATATCCAAAAAAAAACCTGGGATCATATAAAGAATGTTGAACATTAACATCCATAATGAAATATTCTGATCTAAATCAATTTTAGAGATGATTCTGATGGAAAGTCTGAGGGTCATGTCAAACCTGAGAGTCATGTCAAACTTATTAATCCCTAAGAACCGCAAACTCTCTTGTCTGTTCATCCATTCGCACAACAGTCATGATTTTTTCTGTTTCAATAGAGCTATTTTTGAGTGTTGGCACTTGAAGAGCTCAGTTTTATCCATCAGAAATTGTATATTTCATTGCCATCACTCACATACACAGAGTATCAGTAGAGCGCAAATTTTAATAAATCATCATAATCATCCCTCAATGAATGAAAAAGGGGAGGGAGAGGACTATGAACATATAAATAAAATACATATAAAAATAATTTTTTTAACCTTCAAAACAATAATATCTGCCTTTATATGTATTCTATGATATCAAGATTTTTTTAAAGGCAATGACAAAACTGGAGCCAAATTTGTAATACATAATATTACGGTGTGAGGAAGGGGAACTTGGAAAGAGGAAAAAATCTAGTGTTTGGCTGGATGAAATATGCCATACAGAACCTTAATGACTACTTCACACTCACTACATTTCAATCATAAGAAGATAGAGGCAGGAAAATACAAATGTGTAATTGGCTCAGGCAGAAGATGGCCTTCTAGAGAAGTAAGGGTATGGAGGGTGGGGGATACAGTGGATATAGCTGGAAAAGAAAACTTGCCAAACAGTACCATATACATTGGTAGACATTGCATATACCTTATTCATAATTTTAAAATTCCAGGAAAAAATCCCCCAGTTTCTGATAAGCCTGCCATGATCATAGCAAACACAACTCTGCACACATAGTACAATTAACTATGATCATGGCTTATAGGGATTAACTACTTATTTGCCTGACCAACTGCCACTGCTACCTAATGTCTAATCTGCTTTTTTTACTTTACTTGAGCTAATAAAAATTCTGAATATTCACACCAGGCCTTGTATGTAGTGAAATGATTTCCTATTAATCTTCACCTTAGCAAACTACCCAAAATCAGGTGAGTAGGGTAGGTGGAGTAGAAGGGAAACAATCTCCAGTGATAGAGTAGAGTCCAGGTATACATTCAACAACTGCCCATGGCTTTCTGTCATCTTCTTGCTTAGTTTCTACTGAGTGAAAACATAAAACCTACAACCCAGCTTTCAGAAATTTACTTTTTCTGTTCACAGAGCAGAACAAAAACCAATGCAATCACACATTAAATCAAGACAGGAGAAGCCAGCCAGCCAGTGACAGGTCTAAACATGTCAGGGCATACTTCCTCTTACCCACCTGTCAGATATCCTATCCAGTGGATAAGCTTCTGTTGTAGGGACTAAAATTGTCACTTCTATGATGGGTATCACCCATCACAGAATCAGTGTTCTAGTTATTTCACCAATATAAAAGTCAAAGTAACAGGCTCCTGAAATCCCCTAAAATCCTTACAAGATTTAGAATCCCTTGAAAGCAATAGCCAAAAAGCTTATTTGTACAATGCAGTCAGCCTCAGGACTTTCCATCCATCCTACAGATGAGGAACAAAAGAAAATTATTACAAGGTATTCCATCACACTTACTAGCTTCATAGTAAGACAAATAATTAATATAAAAATTATTTCTTCTGCCACTTCACAACAACCTACGTAGGCCTAATGCGCAAAATAGTAACTGAGAAAACAAACAAGGCATCTCTTAAACTTCACCTTTCCCCAACCCCACATTCAGGTAATTTGATTTACAGGATAACCCAACACAAAGTACACAATACTTTCTAAGCTTGTACTGATTATACTGTTTCTGTCTTGGAAATATACCAAACTACGTCACTTAAGAAATATATATATATAAATAAATAAATAAATTGATTAGAAAATAAAAATAGCAGGCCCTTGCTAAGAATATGACTTGGACATTTAATAGTACCATTCTTAACAGGGTTAATTAAAGACTGTAAAGATTGAGATCTTAACAATATTGTAATCAATAAAATATTACAATCTACTTTGATATTAAACAATATCAAAATGCATGATTAACGCCACTATAGCAAATGGATTTATGGAAATCCTTTACAGCACGAACACACTCACCAAAGTCCCACTTGTCACAAAATTTATTTAACAATTACAGTTGCCGTGACTGGGAATGCCCATAACCAAGGGGAGAATTCATGGGGGGGGCTTTGCCCCTAAACACACCCTAGGCAAAAATTGTCTTCACTTTTGTATGCACAGCAAGACAGAGCTGAATCTCTGGGGCATCAAGTGGACTCCAGCTGTGAACAGCTCTTTCTGTATTTTTTTTCCTTATTTATGGTGTTACCATTCATGTTCGCAGATTACTTCTTGTACTGACAACAGTACTTCTTGTCCTCTACAAGAATATTATCTTCAATTTGCCTTAGCTTAGTGAATCAGTACCATAAAGACTAACTGGATTTTAAATCACAAGAGAGTTAATCAATAACTTATTTCTTTATTTGAAAATTAATAGAGAATTTTTAAGAATCTACTGGCATCTTAAAATCCATCAAATTTGGTATCAATGGATATCTCATGACATCTAGTGTGCATCCCTAGTGATTTTAATTGTTGCTAGACAACAATACTGATGATACTAGACCTAATAAGTAGTCAGGCAAGAGGTATCATTGGGAAATAAAAGGGTTACATTATAAGGTATGCTACTTATGCAATTCTGCCATTGCTAGTAGCCTATGAAGGTTAGCCACCACTTCAACCCCCTCCCTGGAATGCAAATTCTGACTGGTAAGAGGGTGCTTGAACAGTTCTGAGTGATACCCTTATGAGTAATGTTACAGCTGAAGTGGAGGTCACATCCCTGGCCATGGGCTCCATCCCCAGTTACAGTGCAAATCATGAGAGTTCTAAGACATTCAAACTATGCTTATCCATTGATTCCATGTACCATTTTTCATATATCTAGTCAACTGACAGCAATGGGAGTCCATTGATGCCACTTTAAGCTATGGACATATTCTAGAAATTAACAAATCAGTAATAAAATTGACATCTTTCTTAATTCTAATTATCAATTCTGACATTGAATTTTCATAATTCTAATTATCAATATTATTCTTTTGTGAACTGTAAAAAAAAAAAAAATCATAGTAATTAATATTTTCTTTTTATCTATAAACAATATCTTTGTTTTGTCTCACATCTCCTAAAGTTCTGCCACTTGTAATGTACACAAAAAAGGAAAGGAACCAAATTAAATCACAATAAAGTACCAATTAACTTAAATTACATATCTATTATGTAGACAGCAAGAAAACCGATCAGAGTAAGAGAGAGACAAAAGTTCATTACAAAAAATATATACTAATGACCACCAAAACCACAGCACATAAATGAAAATCAAACTTAATTAAAATGAAGCAAATATAAAG